ATAAAAAAAAATATGTGTAGTGTTGTTAAAGGCTCGTTTTGAGACGATTTTTAAAAACGGCTAACTCAGTTTTTTATCCAGAAAAATATTATGCAAGCCTGAAAATTTTGCTCATAAAATGAGCAAAGGTCTAGAAATATAGTATCGAAATTTCGAGGCTTAATCAATATTTTTCTGGCGAAAATATTGAGTTAGCCGTTTTTAAAAATCGGTTCAAAATGAACCGTTTAACAACATTAGCGAATATACTTGCTTATTAAATGATAATAATCGCCGAAAAATATGATAAAATACGAAATAGATAAATTTTTTGTATATACCAGGTCAAATATAATTTTAAAAAATTCCGAGCCAAACCTAAAAAATATTTTTTAAAAAAATTCAGGCCGGGCTGGGCCTCCCCCCCTTCCAAATTTTTTTTTAAAATATCCTGACCTTGCTGGGCCTAAAATTTTTAAGCCCTAGCCGTGGTGCCGTAAAAAAATTTTAAAAAAAATATTCAGGGGCCGGGCCGAAACTTTTTTAATCAGGGCCGGACCGTGCAAATGGTACCTCTGCAGGTCTCTGAAATACATATATTAGTTCATTAAATAAATTTAGTTATTCACCAATAACATTTTAGATATTTGGCCGTATTTGATCAGGTCAAATACTCCTTCTTTCAATTGACGATATTAAAAAACTATAATATTCTTCTGCAATCACCAATATTTAATACTATAATATAGATAAGTATTTTATATTAATCAATATTATCTCTATTTACCAAATATCTTGCATTGCTTTACTTTCATTATTCATATTGTCACCCTGCCCCCAATCCCCCCCCCCCTTCGCTGCCTTAAAAAATTTAAAATACATCTTATATCTGCAGAATATAATTTAAATTTCAAAATTACAATATCATGTTAAAATTAAAGTATCATGTCAAACTTAAAAAATATTTAATTTGAAATCATTTTAAATCAGTATAATATTATTTAAACTTTAAATTATAATATTATTTTAAATTATTTAGCAGTTTTTAAATACAGAGCAAAATTATAAGAAATTTTCTATAAAGTTTTTTATATTTTATATATAATTTTAGCAGTATGCTAGCATAATTATTAATTATCATTCATAATTTCAATACATGAATTTTTAACTTTTATTATTACATTCATATTTCAATAATGATATTTAAAATAAATTGATTACAAACAAAATAAATATTTTAACACATGGTGGTACTGGTGACAATTATAAACAAATAGATTAATAAGTAATTTATTTTAAAAAATTAATATGCTTTTTGGGGATAAATATTTTAAAAATTACTATCAGATTAATAAGAGGAATAGAAAAGTTTTTGTGGAGAGAACATTAAATTTATATATTTATAATAATTCTAAATTATGTTTTTTAATTGTTTGGGCCACTCCTAGATGAACTGCAATACTAGGTTGACCCTTAGGAGAGGGATAGGCAAGCCCAGAGCACCTCCCCAAAATTTCCAAAAATGAGTTTAATATACTGGTCCCCATTAGGGGACGTACCAGATATTAAGCTGATAAGAACAGATTATTTTATTTGAGACAACGCTCTATGTTTACAATAATATATAAAAATATTGTACAGATATGGTATGTCATATAAAAAACGCGATATTAATATATAAAAAAAGTGCGCGAAATATGTTCATCCAATTTGAATCGTTGGGATAATGTTCCTCCAATTCGTCGGGTGTTGGGATAATGTGCCTCCAAATCGCATCAGGTTGGGATAATGTGCCTCCAATTCGTCGCGTTGGGATAGGTCCTCCGTGTCCATGGCTTTATTCATCCTTCGCGTTGAGATTCGTCCCTCGTGGCAATATTCCTGTCTCCAGATAGAATTCATTCCTCGCGGCGTCGGCAGCGGCATAGAATAACTGGGCTGTGGAACAAGATCCTACGGAATAGAATACTCCAACTGCGGCATAAGAATAATAGTTGCCACTCGATAGGGTGCGATGCGCATCGCACTTTTAGAGAATGATAGGGGATGGTAGATTAGGAATCGCTGTGGGGGATCGACGGATTCTCGGCCTCATTAAGCTGATAAGAACAGATACTACACTTTGATCTTAGCCAAGAGGCCGAGAAGCGATACTTTTTCCTAGATGCTCTCTCAGATATAATACCATATTTTTCGCTTTTGAATCTAGTGTCTATTAAATTTTTATGATAGAAGGAATATTATAATGTAAATTTCAATTAATAATCAGTTTTTCAAACTATGAGTTTTATTTTTATAAATTTAGGAAAATTCACATTTAATTTTACCTGTAAGAAATATAATATTTATATCCAGGTGTAAAATTTATAAAATTTACTGCCATCATTTTAAATACCAATAGTGTCTGTTTACCAAGTATAGCCACTAGAAAATTATGCATTGAATAAAATTATTTTATATAAGGAATATTTTAGAATATTATACATTATCATATTCAATCAATTTAATTTATTATCATTTTAATAAATATTTTATATCAAAAATACATAAATCGTCGCAGATTTGGAACATTTAAATTAAAAAATTATTTATTAAAAAGTACAATTATTTTACATTATTTAATTATTATTAATGCAAAAAAAATTTGAATAAAATCAATTCAACGATTTTATAGATCTTGAATATAAAAATAAATATTTGTTGAATTCTTTGAATCAATTAATTAAATAAAATAGTTCTACGATTGTCGATGTTATATCTTAATATCTTATAAATTTTAAAAGGTTATAATTTGAATATTATATTTGTAATACAATATTATAACTTATCAAATTGCATACTATTAGAAGTTTAATTTGATAATTATATAAAAGTATTTATGTTGAGATGACCTGATAAATTTTTTTATATATATATTTCTTTTTTATATATTAACTTAATACTAACCTTGCCGACTCATTTTATAATATTAACTCAATAGTTATATTTAAATTAATTTTTCGTTTATATAAATTATTAAATAGATTTTTCGTTTATATAAATTGATTTTTACAAGCTACATAAGCATGAAAATATATTGCAATTTAGTTAAAATTATTTTTTAAATAAATAATATTTTTAAAATACTTTCTTAATTTTGTTTTTCTCCTTGCCAACCTTAACAATATATATACAAGAATTACAATTTAATTGATATAATAGTCGATAACCCACTTTTTATTTTATATAAATTTGTTTTCCAATCTTATCTGAAATATTTTTTATAATACCTACATTTAATTTTTTAGATCAATTAAATGATAAATTTCGGAAATATATTTTTTAATTTATTATTTCCAACATAAAATTTATGAATTTCCAATTGAAATGCTTAATTTTTAAAAATTTTAATTAATTCCCAATAAATGTAAAATATTTATTATTTATAACATGAATCAAATCAATATCATTGTATAACATACCGTTTGGCATTAAAGAATTAGCAGAAAATTATCTTATAATAAATTCTTTAAAAATAATGTCTGAGTTATATTTGCACACAACTTTTCATCAGCAGTAACAATAATTTTCAGCCCACCTTGAATGTATAAAAATTTCTCGATAAAATGGTTAATATTCGGGTAGGCCCAGGTTTATAAAATATAAATTCGACCCAGCCCGGGTATTTGAAAAAACATTTCTTAAGCATGACTCGAGTTTATGAAAAAATAACTTCTTGCACGCCTCTGATAAAAATTAGGGCAAGCCAAAGACTCCCTAGGAAAGTTGTTACTGGAGCAGTAGGAAATTCAATTCATGTTCGTAAACATAAGTATTGTCAGATATTAAGTAAACCAAATTTAAAAAAAATAGAGCAATTTTTTTAGATACCTAAAAGTAGGTTAAATTTTGTGTAATACTCAAAAACAGTAAAAAAAAATTTTAAAACCATATATATTGAAAAATTTAGTTGAGAAAATATTGATAAAATTAAAGGTCAAAAAAAATTTTTTATTTATAATTCTTTATGCATATAAATCAGAAAAAATTTGAGGCAGTATCTGGTTAGATTTATTAAGCAGGCTTATATGTATAAAAGAAAAATAACGAATGCCCCTAAACACTTAAAACAAACCAAAATAGGGTGTCTTAGTTAAGGGGTTTAGCATAGACTAAGAAATAAGTATCAAAATAAAGTCGAACCAGAATATGGCCTAAAGATTTATTATTTTAAGGAGCATTTCAAATTCTGCCAAGATGTAAACTAAAAAGGAAAAAACAAATTTACAAAAAGCATAAAATATACTCAATTTTTTTTTAAATCACAAAACTATTTGTATATTACATAGTAACATAAACTATAATTATTTATCATAAACAAATAGTAATATATATAAAAATACATTTTGTCATAAAAAATTTGCCAGTGATGTTTTTCTTACAGTATATAAAACTGATTAAATAAAAATTGGATAAGTAAATTTAATCTACAAGGCTTAAATCTAACATTTTTGAAATTACCTTAATTGAATTGCGAATCAGAAATTGTAAGGAATTATAACTGGTTAACTTTTCAAATTTAAGTAGGAGCTTAAGTTCCTCAAAAATGTCATTGCATTAACAGCTCTAGAATGGGAGGGTTTTCACCCTGCCCCCTCGCGGAATCGTCTATATTATATTATAAAATTTTGCATGCATGAAATAAAATTGTACATATTTAATCTTGACTCACCTAAAAAATTTGAAATAAATGAGGTTGTAAATGCTGAAACAATTATTATTTCTGAAGCTTAAAAATTTAATCAATAAAAAAGTTACATCTTTATAAAAAATAATTCTATATGTAACGGAAAAAATTATTCCTGTAATGACGTTGTGTTTAAATGATATTAATAATATTATCTATTATCTTTTTATGTAATAATATATGACAGAAATTATTTTTTATTAAATTCCAGAAAATATATATAAAAAGGATAAAAAATTAGTGACATTTACACAAAAAAACTGAATCACAAATTTACTGTAAATATTCTTAATATTATATAGCGCAAAGAAAGTAGATAGTGGATATAAAATAAAATTGAATGTCAAATATCATAATTAATAATGTAGTAATAAATAAAATTATATTATTATAATTATATTTATTTTTATAAATCATGTATGAAAATCTAGAAAGGCAAAATTGTTTGGAAATAAAATCAAAAAATTTTACAAATTCAATTATATAAAATAAACAATAATTCATTGGCGCATCTTTTGAGCCAATCATGATAGCGTCTATTTGAAATACCTATTAAAAGTCCCATGACCAGTCCTGTATTCATTCGCATTTCTATTACGGACATTATTGCCCATTCTCTTAGCTTGTGGTGGTTGGTTGTGCCTTGGATGATTCTCGGTATAATACGAAGTTAAATTATTACTCATTTTATTAGTGTTGTTAACGTTATAACGTCTTTCCTCGCTAAAACTTTCTGGTCTTTCTGGACGCCTGTGTGTACTATACTCATCCCTATTTTCTGACAAAGAAGAAAGGTTACCAAAAGAAGATCTATACTCCTTTTCATTAAAATATAAAAAATATTAATTTGGCTCAATATTTGAGAAAAATATTCATTATTATTGAGTCAATGCAAATTTCTAACCTTCACAAATATAAAAAATCAGGTTATTTGCAAATTATAAATATTTAAAAAATTCTTATTTTTCAGGATTTAATTCGAGGTAGAAAGGCCACCGGCTTGTTATATTTGGCGTAAATATTATCTTCTTCAAAATGTTTCAAGATCAAAGTCAAATATTTTTTTGCTTAAATTTAAACTATCATATGTAATATAATTTGACAAAAAAACCTTACTGAAAAAGAGGTGGGGGAATTTTTAAGAATATTGTGAAAACATTTTAAAATGTCAAATGAAGCTTGGATATAAAATACAAATTTAATGAGAATAACCTGATTATGATGAGAATGGCCTGGTATCAACATATGAGGAAATGACGGCAATTCGTTTGGTTGACACACTTTTACTGTAGTGTGATTGGTCCTTTGTCTATCATAACTATTGTATGATGGCCCTCCTCCCTTTGTAAGACTCGATGATTGACTCCTCGTAGATGAATGGTGGTTTTCTACAGAATTAGCATGCGATTCACTCATCTTAAAGCTCGAATAATCAAAACTGTCATCATTGTAAATAACTTTTTTGCTAGATGAATCATTGAAACTTGATGCCAATGGATAAGAGGTTTGGTAGGATGACATGTAATCCTTTTCTGACGATTCCATATGTTTTTGGACAGAGCGATCATTTTTATTCAATTCCATCTTTGGGGTGGGCTCATATACAATATTGTGACCACTGCTGACCTGATTATCGCGTAAAAAAGTGCCAACTTGGATTAGACTGGACTTGGACACACCAACGTCAGAAGCCGAGCTAAGAACACTAAGATTAGGGTTCTTAGGTTTTGATAGGAAGGACAATTTGTTAGGATCTTCGCTTTTCTTTTTAGGATATTTTAATTGTTCCAAAACGGGCGGTTTCTGAGGTGTGCTTTGATGTGAAGGTGGGGGACGAGGCACATAAGAAGTTGGCCGATAAGGAGGAGGTGGGGCGTGATGAGGAGGAGGTGGGGCGTGATGAGGAGGAGGTGGGGCGTAGTGAGGAGGAGGTATATGATGAGGAGGTGGAAGGTGATGAGGAGGTGGAGGGTGGTGAGGGGGTGGAGGGTGTCTCACAAGTGTAGGATAAGCATGCTCATCTGGATAAGGATGGGGGTAGGGAGGTGGAACAGGTTGAAAAGGATTATGAGCTAGAGGGGGTGGTGGCGGATACCTAAAATCTTGAGAAGGTGGTGGAATTGGAGGTGGGTATCTGAGATTATATTAAAGGGAAAAAAATTTTAACATAAAATTGCCACAGCTATTTTAATAGTACTGGTTATGCATTTTGTTATATTATATATAGACAGCCGAGAATTCGGTTAACATCTATTAGTCTAATCTCAAGGCTTAGGCAATATTTTTGGCTAAAATATTGAGTTAGCCGTTTTAAAATGTGGCCAAAATGGAGCGATTTTCCATCACTTCGCTACTTACATCTACTTATCAAATACTTTTTAATAGTAAGACATCTATAATTTAACTATAACATAACATATGTCATTTAAATATAACATAATTATGAGTTATAGTTTATATAAATCTAAAAATATCTTAGATATTTTTTAATTTATAAAATATTAAGTCTTATTTTATCTCTATTGATTTTTTTAAAACTTGTAAAAAATAAAATCAGAAAAAATCAATACCTAGGCACAGGAAGATGGTGATAAGGATCTATTGGTGGGCGAACATTTGGGTCATATTGAACTGGTTCAAATGGATTACCACCTAAACCTTAAAAATAAAGGGTTAGTAAGAAATCAAATATTATAGGGTTTAGTACCAGGAGGCCTTCTCCTATCAACTCGATAACGTTCATCAATAGGTGGGGGCAGTGAAGAATGGGGCAAGCTATCATACCTCTGGTCACCTATGGTGTTTACATTATTTCCAGAAGCATTCTCCCCTTGATACTTTTCCAAAATTCTAACTTGAGCTTTCAAAGCATCTTGTAGCAATCTTTTTAAACTTTCGTTACCAGGGCGAGCTAAAAATCCAGCATTCTCTTGGTCATTAATCAAATCGTTAAGCTGAGATTGCAAATAAAGAGCTGTGGGAAGTGACGGATCAGGCCGGTTTCTTCTATTGTAAGATAAAGATTCAAGAAAGATAATGACATATTCATCACTTTTTTAAAAAACAAGGGATAATAAGTAAGTTGCAATCGATGAGACTATTTTAACAGTAAACCCATAGCAGTGATGCAAAATCGCTTCATTTAAGCCAATTCTTAAAACGGCTAACTTAGTATTTTATCCAGAAAATCTATTACACAAGTATGGAGATTTTTGCACAAAGGCATAAAGGTTTGGGCATCTATTAGCAAGATCTCGAGGCTTATAGGCCATATTTTCTAGCTAAAATAATGAGTTAGTCATTCTCCAAAATTGGTTCAAATGGAGCTAACTACTTTCTTTTCTTTATAAAAAAATTAACCAATGTCAATTTTCCTTCATTTTAACCTTTCCAAATTCATAGAATTGTCATACTTTTTCTATCAAACAAAATCTTGTTTGAACTTATTTTTAAAATAAAATTTCGTAACAGATTCAGAACCTTATTTGGTTTGAATAAGTTGAACAGATTTTTTTTCTTCTTATTGGATCGACCTTAATTTAAAAAAATAGGTTGCATCTCTACCGCTGGTGATGAACTCATTCATTGTCTTATTCCACTCCTTTCCAAAGACTTTCGTTATTCACCATAACATGAAAGATATTAAATATCAATTCTATTCATTGCTCCGTTATCTTATCCTCTCTTTTACTCTTCTAATTCACCCTTTTAACAATCTACATAAATATTTTAAAAAAGCTTCTTTTCTTTATGAGCAAAACTTCTAAATCTATTCAACCCAAGACTCATTAGAACTAGTGGTCTGCTATGGCAGTTTTAAAAAATTATGAAACAATTTGCTTATAAAATTTTATAATTTTGCATATTTTATAAGTTTAAATAAAAATATCCGAGCTTGAACAGCTCCTCAAATAAATTGTATGTAAACAAATAAAGGATGAATTAATTTTAAAAACTACAAATTGATAGGTGGGTTAAAAAAAATTTAAAATAGGGGACGAATGGGCATGTTAAAAACCAGTTTATTGCCAAACTCTAATTGGAATTGCCTTTTCACTCTTTCTTATTATCCATTTTTATATGTTGCCTCCTATTCACACCTAAATCTCAAAGCACTTTCTTATATTCATATTTCCTAAGTTTAGTCATTGATTTTATGGGTAAAAACTTTAGGAAAAATCGGAAAATAGGAATAAACTTTATCTACTATAAAGGCTTACAAATACCTAGTGTCAAAATTATCGATGGGAGATGCCTGAGGAGGTGGGAAGAATAGCAATCCATTCTGGACATCAATAAGTCGTTTAATCTTGTCTTCTAACATGCCGACTTTAGAAGGGGCGGCTGTTTGGGCTGTCAGATTATCTATCATGCCCCTAAGACTACGAGCCAATTCGTCCTGTTGCCGCATCGACTCTTCCAGGGTGTTACTACATATTGATAATATCAAAAAATATTATTAAAACCTGTATAAATATAACTAGACGATTAAAAATAAAGACTACGATCAGTAAGTTAATTTGAAACCCTAAAACATTTTTATCATAATAAAAATGATAATTACCAAAAAAATTGTATGGTTAAAAATGATAAATAGGTAAAATATACCGAGATTTGATGCCCAAGTGAGCCTGAAAGTTAAAGGGTTCTGGCTTGATTGCACTTAATCGTTTAGAACCCGCCCTGAGGCTTTCCCTAGACCGATTTCTTTTGGAAGATCTTCTGGAGCGTGAGGTTGATCTATGACGACCAACACTAGATCTCTCTCGATCTCTGGGTGATTTGGATCTAGATCTCGCTCTTACACTGGAATAAGCACTGTTTACAAAATCATCAGCCAATTTGGCAGATGCCTTTCCTAAAGCGTTCTTGTAATCTGAAGACCAGATGGGTGTCAGACTTCTTTTTAAATTTTCCCTTTTCCTATCGTAACTCGTATCTTGTGGGCCTCCCACCATACCACCCATTCCTCCTGCAACAAGTGGATAAGTGGTAGAGGAAGCCAAATAAGGAGGACGTTCCAAGGGAATTCGAGAATTTTGTTCTGCCAAAGACATTCGAGCCAGCAGTTGGTTCAGTCTGCCCAGAAATTTGTTCATCCTGACATTATCCACCTTGTTAGTATCATAGAATTCTGCCTCAATGCCTTCTTTTAGCAAGATGTAAAGGGAATTCTGATCTGCCCCCATCTCCTCTCTCAGTAATGGTTCTAGCCTATGAGCTATGTTTTGGTCACAGGCCCAAGCTTTAAAGATAGTGTTCATGGCGTTTCTCAAAACGTCAAACAACCTTCGAATGGTCTCAGGTTTGGTGAAATCTTCTCGAGTCATGTCCACCTTTTATTAAAAAAATAGTTTATATTTATAAAAAGAATTAAAAAGTTTGAACATGAAGCAAATTTTTTATTCAATCCCAGAAAAATATCCCCCAGAATTTTTTTCCATGTTTATTCAATTTACTTAAGACTAGTAATAAAGCCATATTTTTATTGGATACACTCATGTTTATAAGGTCAAGTTAGTCAAATTCGTATTTTAGAAAAAATATTTTACTAATAAGCTAAAAAATTTTAATGGCTCTATCATTATTTAAAGGTTACTCATATACCCTCCACAAAAAATGCTTAACAAGATAAAATATATTCAAAGTGGTACGGGGAATAAAATAACCCATGCATTTCTTATTTTCGTAAAAATTATTTACTATAGTAATAAATAAAATATCCAATCACAATTATGATTTTAAGTAGACTATTTGGTAATAATTTATAAGTATTTTATTGATAAATCATCATTATGTATATACATATTTAATTTTGAGTAATAATTATATGGGTTAATATCGAATAATGAAAAAAATCACTGCTATTATATATTGGAAGGCTTTGCACACCATCACGGTAACCCTCGCCTTTAACAATTTGGGTGTTATAACTTTGTGATTTAGTTTTTGATGTCCACCTATCTACACACAATAGTTCAAGTTTGGTTTCATATGTGGCCACTGCATTTCATTTTTTCAATATCCTGATTGATGCGTTCAGATTAGAAAATCGATGATTCCCTCCTTCACATTAATTATTTATGTTTGTTAGATAGTGAGCTCTGATTCACGTTCCAAGTTTCTAGAGAAAATCGAGGCTCATTCGTCATGTCTGAGAATTGCTTCTTGTGACCTCCCTTGATGCTCCATTGATATAATTTTTTTATCGAAATAATCAATAATATCTTATTGCTTAGAGTAACGATCTCAGTGTATTGCATTCGCCATATCAAATAAGGGAACAAATACTAAACTGTCCATAACTAGGTCTTCCAAATTCTCAAGTTTTGAAGGGTTGTGCTTTACTTTATGATTCCTTAGAGTTCTTTTTATTGGCTCTTCCGATAACATGTGTGACTCAAATTATAGATATAATTTTCTAAATACCAGGAATTATAACGTTATTTAAACTGATATTAAAAATAAACCTTAAGATCTTGTAGAAGAAATTCTATGTTATACAAGAGAATTTCAAAAAGTGTTATCTATAAGTGTCAAATCTGATAAAAAAATAGTATTTTATTTGAAATTTTTAAGTGGAGTTTTTTATAATTACCTTTTTTATTATATATATTTAGCTAAAATTTAACTCCAATTTTAAAAATAAGAAAATCAAAGTTTGTAATTAAATTGAAAATAATCACAAAAAAATTCTAATGAGAATAATCATAGAAAAAATGGATTAACTTTTGTTTTAGTAATCTCTTAGATAAATTTGGGAATAGGAAATTATATGAACAAAAACTTAAAATTACAACATGAAAAAAATAGATCTCCATAGAAATAATCTCTTGTGGGTCAAACAAGATGATTGGTTAAGAATAAGATCCTATTCTAATATTTTATATGGCAATGATCTTTATCATAGATCCAAAATACTTCAAAGCTTAGTAATAGTTTAAATTATTACGCAATATTCCAATCACAGTGAACATGTTTAGAACAAAGTGAATTAATATGTGAAAATATATTATTTCAGCCACCAGATAGACAATTTTCATATTCTCTGTGGTAGACAAGGATAGCTACCAAAGGTATTGCACAAATTAATGTATAAGGACTGAGACAGAATTTGAAATTAGTAGTAAATTTCACATTTTTTTATAAATATATTGTTTAAAATGCTGTGTAATTTATTTCTATTTATTGCTTAAATGTTTTTATTGTATTGTAAAGTGACCCCCAAGTATCCAAGAAGCTTAGACAATATTCTAAGATTCTTAAAGACCATTCTTATATAATTAATTATATTGTCAAGGATATTAATCTTACATTTAAACTTTTAAATATGATTTATAAATCTTAATATATTATGAATAAATATGATACCTGAGGCATCCCTGGCAAAAATCCTCTCACCCTGCCAAAAACTTCGTTCAGGGAAGTCTGGTTATCTAAGGTTACCAATATATTTTGGAACATGGGAAAGGATCCAATAGATTCCAACATATTATCTTTAAAATATGAAAGTATATAGGGTATAATGATATTATAAATGTTCAGGTCATATTAGTTAGTGACTGAGGTAAGACAAACAGGAAAAAGTTCAAGTTAACCCTCTATTGTGCACATCATATTTGAATACAAATACCATAAATAATATTATAACTATTATTATAAAAATTTTTAAAGGTTAGTATGTGTGATCTATAATATCCACATATATTTTATTTATTTTCATAGTTTGTTAAAAATGAAAAACGGCTATCAATATTAAAATTCTAAAATGCATAGTTTACAACTTTCAAATAGTAGCATTTTTTCAATTTTATCAACAACATCAATTTTTCCTGTACAATTTTTTAAGAGACAGGAAGAATCCTATTGGATAAAGGTAAAAGAATTTTTTTTATATATAAACATATTGTTATACACGTTAATAGTATTTAAAGTTTTGAGGGTAATAAACCCAGATATATAATGCTTTTTTTGTTTATATTATTAAATGTTATTTATTTGCTATCTATCCACTAGACATTTATATACTCAAAATGTATTGTTATCCTGAGAATAGTTTGATTCTAATCTTAATAGTTCATCATGAGGAAATTCTTGCTTCAAGATCAAAAGATGTTGATTCCATAAGCACATTATAAAATATGACTTTTATTATATATTTAGATAATTCTCATAATGATGAGTAACCAAATATGACTCAAAAAAATTATAGAAAAATCATATGGAAGTTATATTGAACCAATAAGACTGTGACAATTCCTAAATGGAAAGGAACTCAGCATAACACAGAAAAGATTATGAATCCAATTTCTTATTGCATGAAATCTCTGGATAAAATTATTGATATTATAGTATAACTTATATGTTACACAAAAAACTAGAATTGATAAATCTTGGGTAGATCTCGAGAATTAGGAAAGAGAAATTCAAACTTTCCTGCCATCTAAGAGCAAAATATTCAGACCATAATATTATCTTGGATAAAATCTTAATCGGATCGAATTTAAAAATTGACCGAAATTGGGCTCCTCTAAATATGAGTAAAAATAAGCTTGAACAATTTATTGGGATTCTTTTATACATGTATATAATAAAACTTCAAAGAACTAGTTATCATTTATCTGCACATTCAAGGTAATCATAAGTAGCTATAATGTTATGTGTCAAAAAAATGAGAGCAAATAAAAGCCTCACTCCACTCTCCCATAAACACAATTTGACTATAAAATAAGGCATCTCCTCGAGATTTCATAATTTTTTTGAAAGAATATGAAGAAATTGTTTGCATTGATAAAAAACAAACTTAAACAATACAAATACAACACATAAAAACCAAAAAAATTGGTCTACAAAACATCCCTATTAAGCAGTGATGAAGGGCTTGATTACAATCATAAAATATATATTGGCAAAAATGAAAAAGTAGATGCATTTTCGCACTACATTCCAATTATAAATTATGTTTTGATAATGTTCTGTATAATAGAACATCAAGTCTTACTCACCCAAAAGGGAATTTATTGTATTGCAACAGCCAGTGCTGATCGAATATATCATTTTTTAGGAGTTTTCTTTCTTGGCCCACAAAACTATTTTGTTTAGTATTTTTATCTTTATAGGTATTCTAACCTAGCCATAAGAAATCACAAGATGTTTTTAAATAAATTTTGTCAAAAGTCAAAAAAGTTGAAATTAAAACTTGTTTTTATTTAAATTATATTATTCTAAAGTAGTGGTGTAGCTATGGGGGGGGGTCGGGTTTACACCCCCCCCCCCCCTCCCAGAGCAATTCAAAAGACTCAGAAGTGACTTTATATCAATAGTATTATTATAAAGTCATTGAGAATAATCTACTAAATTATAATAACATATTATTGATGCATTTAAAAAATTATTATATATTATCGAGGATATGGTTCCCAGAGCAAAAAAAAATTTGGATCATACGTTTAAAAAATACTTTAATTCAAATTAATACCCCATCAAGATAGTATAAATAAAAAGTTTGTCTAATATAATTATGAACTTTAATTTTTCTGGTGATATTTGTGGAAGAATTTTATTACTTTTAAATATATTATTAATTATTCTGTATATTATTATTATATTAAAGTCATTGATAATAATCTACTAAATTATAATAATATATTATTGATGCATTTAAATAATATATTTATTATATATTATCGAAGATATTGGAAAATAATAATATGAAATAAAATAGTGCATAATCTACTTTCTGATGCTTATATTTCTAATATATATTTAGTTTATATTTTGTTGTATTTTTATAAATGAAATTATTAAAGAGATTAAATTTTATGACCAAAAAGTAAAGATAGTTATTTCCTATTTACAAACTTCCAAAACTCTTTCAAATGGATATAAGGAAATAATTAGGTTAAAAAAAATATACTAATAGATACTTATATAATTTTAGCGAAAAGAAAGAAATTTACCAACTAATATCTCATGCAATATAAGCCCTGTTGAAAATGATAAGCATAATCTAAATACACAAGATTAAAATAATATTCAATCTAGTGTACTAATTAATATCTTATGCATTATAGGCTCTATTGAAAATGATGAGGATGATGTAAACATAACATTTAATATAAAAGATTTTATTTAAAAAATATATCATTTATAATTAAAGCAATTAATATCATTTATAATCAGCAATTTATATGTGTAATACTAATAGTTATAAAGTATAATTTATAATTAAGGCAATATAATATTTATAATTAAGGCAATATAATATTTATAATTAAAGCAATATAATATTTATATTTTAAATAATCGCTTTTTATTTGTAAATTGATTTCTATAAAATATAAATTGAAACGTATGTCTATAAAAGTTATGTGGAAATGTGTTATTTTAATTAAAATTAGTGTTGTTAATTGCTCAATTTGAGCTGATATGGCTAACTCAATAGCCAGAAAATTATGCAAGCCTGAAAATTTTGCTCATGGTTGATACAAAGGTTTAGACATTATTTGTGAAATCTTTGGCTAAAATATTTAGTTAGCTGTTTATAAAAATCGGCTCAATTTAACAACATTAATTAAAATGATCAATAATTCTATAACTTTTATTTTAAAAGAAAAACAAATATGATTTTTAAGATAAAATGTAAAGTGAAATAACTTAAAAAGATATACCTTAAAATAAAAATCATAACTCACCACATCATAACTGGATTTTAAGAAAAAATCTAGAAAATTGTAATAATAAAATATTTTTTTAATTTTAATAAATATATGTCGTCTGCTTTTATAGATTAAAAAATTAATAATGTAAATATCCTTATTTTTTAAATAAAATCAAAAATATTTTATCCTAGTTCAAATATATAAGTTATAAATTTTCTAATGTTATTTAAACACAAATTAGTTTCTAATATATCTTGGACATGTACATTTGATAACATTGAATCCTAACTTAGGCGTAAAAATTTGTAGACAACTTGTGACTAGGATGGATATAAAAAGGTTACTTATATATTTTGTTTAATCTTTGAAAGCTTCAATTCAATCAAGGAATTAAATAGATTGGATAAAATTCAACCCTCAAATTTTGTGATTTCAGGCTTCTATAGAAATTTTGATTTTCTTTTACACTACAAATATATTTCACAAATGCTTTTTGGGCATTAAATTTCTGGTTCATGACAGGAAATATTATAAAAATGGATTATGAGTGGCCATTAAAAATCAAATTTTATCATTTGGATAGTGATTTATTTTTATATAATATTGTAATTTATAATTCAAATCGTTTAAAAAAAAAATTATATAAACTAGTATAATAATCTATTTTATGATATTGTTTATTTATATGAGCATGGACAATAAAAGGCTAAGCCAGGACTAAAAAATTAAAACAAATTTTAAAAACCCCAGATATAGCCAATCTCAGTTGAAAAAAAAGAATAATCAAGGCAAAGCTTAAAAAGTATTCTTCTAGAGGCTCCTGATTAAATATAATTTTATCTAGTCAAGGTCAAACATCCATCCTATATGATGTGTCCAAGTTTAATTACTTATAATGCAACCAAATAAAAGACAGAGAAGGCCTTTGACCGTCTATATATTATATAATTAAAATTAAACCAATATTTCTCTGGTCATTTTGAATCGTAACAAAAAGAGGTTGAGTTTGAGTTTGATGCAAAGCTATGTTCATCATCTTTCTCTTGTAAATGTCTCGTTGGGCTATATTTGATAAAATTCATAATACAAAGTTTGTTCTTTAATAGAAATTAATTTTTCCCTTGCAATTTATAAAATATTCATAAGATATTTTTTTATAAATCACCAGTCATAATAGGCCATAAAAATTTATGTACATATATGAGGGAGTCCATTAATTGTGTGTTACTTTTCTACCACTAGGAAATTTGGCAATTTTAAACCAGGTAAAATTTGTACCTAATTTATAAGTCTAAGAGACAATTATGGACTTATTTCTATAAATGTACAAATCTAGCTTTACATTTTCAAAGGTGGAGTGAATATTTTTTAAATCAATAAGCTTTATAATATAATACATTTTTCTAAAGTATATATTATTCTATAGCAATAATCAAATTTGAGATTTAATTATAAGTGACTGACTGAATATTTATGTTATAAAGAGAGCAGTCCTTCTGTGAGCATATTTTTAAGAGGCAGTAATTACATTCCAAAAAAATTCCAGGCTGAATTTGAAATATAGTATAATAATGGATGCACTATGTCAGAATCCATAATTTGGAACATTATTATTCATTTTCACAAAAGCTTAAATGGAATTAATCACAGAATCGATATTAAAGGATATATGTGACATTGAATATCAATAAGTCTAATGTTTCAAAAAAAGATCCAAGATGTCCAGACTCATATTTTAATTGAATCCCTTAAATTTTTGGTTAAGGAAATGGCTAGTTGTTTTTTAAAGCAAAAGTGAAATATCTAAAAAAAATTAAATTTGGTAGATGTAGTAGGAAATGAAATTCAAGTTAAGAGAGCATATGAGATGCAATTAACGTTTTTTTTAAATGAATTATTCTGAGAATATTTAAAGTCAAATTGTCAGTAACAAATGAAAATGACTAGATTTTTGTTAAAGCAAAAATAGTCTGCACTTGGTGGATTTCCCCTAATTTTCAGCAAGTTAAGAAAATATAAAGAAATTTCAAATCCAAGTTGAGATAAAATAAAGAAATAAATAAAATTTACATTAGTTCAGAGTTAATTGAATGGAATTCGAAATTCTTTATCAAATAATGATTTTTTTTCTCCCTTTCATTGGATATTTTATTAATGTTCGATTTTGTCCTATATTAAGTCTGTAAAAAGACTTATTTCAAGTATTATGAAAAATAAATAAAATTTAATTATATGTATAATGTAAATGAATGAAAGTTGTTATAAGAAAAATTATATTTTTTTTACTCTGTAAGGCCTTCTTCCTCAGCATAGAATTTAAAGAAGTTAGAGTTTGCTTGGTATTTTTCCTTGGCATAAATTTATTTTGATTACGACTTCCCCCTTTCCTGCCACGAGGAGCTGGTTTCATGTAATCTGATGAAATAGAACTTGATCTAGATCGGATTCTGCTTCCAGCTAATTTGGTATCACTATTTGACTTTCCTTTGTCCTTGTTATGGTGATCATGATGGCGATCCTTTGAATCTCTTGTATCTGTAGGTTTTCCACTGTCAAGCTTATCTATCTCCTCACCTTTTGGAGGAAAAATAATCCTAAAATTCTTTGGGCCCTGGCTACCACCAGTTTTTATGATTCTAGTGGATCTAGAATCCACAATATCTAGGTTAATACTTTTTGGAATATTAGGATCATTGATTTTAACAGCTTTATTTTTATTTAAATCAGGCTCTTCTCCAACGTTTGATTTGTCCTCTACATTTATCTCATTGCCAATAGAAATCTCGTCAAAATCGGCGGAGAAAGCATCCAATATAACAAAATCTCCTTTGGTGATAACTTCATTGTCCAAAGTGCGAGGTTTCGAATCTTCACTGGCTACTGGCTCATTAGGAATTAAATCAATTTTGGGGGAGCCAGAAGTTAGTTTATCACCAAAATCATCAGATTCCTGTATTTTGTTATCTATAGTAATTTCAGTTGATTCACGGGAAATCTTTTGACTGGGCGTTTTGTGGATCCTGATGATAGTTTTATTAGTGACACTGTCTTTTTCAATGCTGAAATGATTAGCCGTTTGTTCCACAGCCACATCTTCTGAGGTGATAATATCATTTGATTTAGTCATTTTTAGGTTAGGATAATTCTTACTCCGTTTACGTTTGTCCTTAGCAACAGGACTCATATCTCTAATTAATTCCTTTTTCTTGTCACTAGGTCTCAAGATATATCTTGACAAACTGCTGGCCAATTTATTAATGTTCCTATTCTCGGTCTCTTTCTGTTCGATGTGTTCAGAGTCTGACACATTTTCATAAGAGGCATCAAATTTAGACTTTTCTTTGGCGATATCATTGTAAATTTTCATGATGTGACATATCATATCAAATTCAGGATGTTTAGGATTTACCTCAATATATCTTATGCGCTTAGATTTTTGAAGATGGTTAGGCAGTAGATGCATTATCTTTTGGATAACGGCATCCATGATTATTTGCTGATCCACTTTTGAGGAATGACCTTTGAGGCTTATTTGTTTTTCAACTTCTTCACTGTAAAATTTTTCAAAGTCATTCAATAAGGTTGGAGTCTGAACTCTCTAAGAAAAAAATAATTATTTTGGTGTTATTGAAAATTTTTTTTTGAATATTTATGTATTTATAATAGTAAATAAATAAAGATGAAATTATTAAATAGAGTATGAACCTGGATTTTTTTAACCTTTTTAAAATTTTAATGTATTCATAATTTAAATCAGAGGTGTACCAATACCAATTATTAGGCCAATACCAACCCAACAATATTCATCAATACCAACTGATGGTTATGGGGCATCTCAAATAATTTTTATTTAATCACATGGTCTGTCAGATATGACAAGTTATTAATAAAAATGATAAAATTTTATTAAAACTCATTTTAAATATATCTTAATGCTAAAAGGGTGACCTAATTGAGCATATTCCAAAAAAGAAAACCAGTTTACATTTTTATTAATGTTTATAAATTACTTGCTCTATACCCCCACAATTAACATTAACACATATCTAACATTTAATTCTACATATTTATTTAATTAAATATATTTATCCAATTAAAAAATCTTGCAGGTTGGGTTAGTGATGATAAGAGCCGATTTTTAAAAATAACTAACTCAATATTTTAGCCAAAAAATATTGTCAAAGGTACCAGATTTTGCTAATAGATGTCTAGACTTTGAGCCAACTATGAGCAAAATCTTCAGGCTTGAGTAATATTTTTCTGGATAAAATAATGAATTAGCCATTTTAAAAAATCGGCTAAAATAGAGTCATTTAACAACACTAAATTGGGTTATTATCATCAGTCAGTATTTTTCCTTCTAGTTTTCTTTTTTTTCATCATAAAATACAACATAAAAAGTTAATATAATTATTTTAGCATAAAAAATTGCACTTCATAAGTTGTTAAATCATCCTTAATTTTTATAATTTAATATAGGAAAACATTTTGTGGCAACTCTATTATTAGGAAGTAAATAGAATTAAACTTCCAACTCTGGTTGTATTACAGCATTACCTAGCCAATGCAGCTATCAGTGATAAGTGAATTATTTAATAAAACTGGGAACTTTGATAAATCAGGTAGAATTTTCTTTGCTGGTAATATTTAAAAATGTGTCTTTCTACATGTTAATTAATTATAAAAAAATAGCATTGATAATTGAATAAAAAATTTTTGTTTATATAATATATGATTCCTTTATTATATAATAAATTAAATTTTGGGCTGGGTTAAAAATCCCTGAGCCAGGTCAGGCTTAAATAATTTAATTTAGGAAAACTATAAAAATTTATGTATTAGTAGCAAAAGGCCAATATTACATATCAATATCAGCTAAATAACTGGTATCAATGCACCTGTGATTTTGATATAATAAATATTCTAAATAAAGACCAGTACTTAAATAAATGAATCTTACTATAAAGTTGTGAACATGTTCTTTAGATAGGATGTGGTGCATAATGGCTTTATCTTTTGCTTCAGGTTTTGACTGAAGTTTATCTTTGTTAAAGTATTTTGGAGAAAATCCACAAAGATAGCACAAATAATAAGATGTGTCTTTATACATACTTTTAATTATGTAATCAATACCTAATAAATCAATGAGATAGATATGGTTATCAAAAATATTTTACCTAATAATTCTGGCCTTGATTCCAAGAAATTTATAGCTCCATGTTTTAGTTCAAATTTAGTAGCAATCACTTTATGATCTATGGTAAAAATAAATATTATTTGTTTAAATAATAAAAATATTTTTTTAAAACGTACTTCCAAATGTGTTAATAGCTTGAACCCATTTATGAGACAAACTTTCTTGATGAGGTTCCATACATTTATTTATAATATCATAATAATAATTTAATTTGCAATCCTAATTTAGATATGATTATAATTTTTAAATAGACTGTTACTGTGCAGAATTTGTACATATCCTTCATGGTCCTTAATTTCATTAAGTGTGTTTCTTGTTTGGAATGTGCTTTAAGTAACTAAATCAAAAATTATAAAAATTACTTTTTGTTTAAATTAACTTCCTCCGATTGGCAAATGGTACGACATATTTCGCATAGATATATTGATGGCTTCTTTGGCTTATCAACATCAAGCTCATGGTTGTTATCGTCATTTTCTAACTCCATTTTGTATTTAGATATTTTTTATAAAATAAAACGAGGAAAGTTGAATTATAATTTCTAAATAAAATAAATTTATAATTAATTCTATTATTGGGTAGGTTTTCCGGTACAAATAGATATTGACTTTTATATGATTAAATTTGATCAATTATAAAAAAAAGCACTATGTTTGTGTGAATTTTAAATGTTTTTCATTTAGGATACATTTGAATTCATTGAAAATTATATGCCAATGTTTTAGAATATTCATATAAAAGAAACACATCTCAGTACTAATCTCTCACATGAACATGGCTGTAAACATATTAATACTTAATTCAGTATTAAATTTAACTGTTAGAGACCCAAACCGAATCAAGTATTTTCTTTTAAAATGGGTGGGCTCTTTTTCACTATCTTTTTAAGACTCATAAGTGTTTAAGTAAGAATCTAGTCTTGAACCTATATTGGAATTTTTTAATGTTAAATATTAGTCTTATTTAATATCTCTGGGCTTGGTTTCATAATTATTAGGGAAGGTGGGTTAGAGAAATTCTTTTTAAATATTAAGATCTTGGATGCTTTTTTCTTGAACCTATATTAGGATTTTTTAATGTTAAATGTTAGTCTTGGATGCTTGGATATTTTTTCCATGTTAAATGTTAGTCTTATGTTATTCTTTTTATAAATTAATATATTTTACCTGTTGACTAATTGGTAAATCAGATATTTCCTCTTCATTAATTATAAATTTAATATCTCTGGGCTTGATTTCAAAATTATTAGGGAAGGTGGGCTGAGAAAATCTTTTAAAATATTAAGATCTTGGATGCTTAGATATTTTATCCAGTTTAACCTATATTGGGATTTTTTATTATTAAATGTTCGTCTTGGATGCTTGGATATTTTTTCCAGATATTGTAGGGTAGAACCTATATTAGGATTTTTTAATGTTAAATGTTAGTCTTATGTTATAAATTTAATATCTCTGGGCTTGATTTCAATATTATTAGGGAAGGTGGGCTTTAGAAAATCTTTTTAAATATTAAGATCTTGGATGCTTGGATCATTACATTTATCATGTTATTTTTTTACTTTTAGAATATCATAATAGACTTGATTAGTCCCTCAAAAATTTTATTTGATGATAGCCCTCCAACCTATTAGAAATATGCATCTAATATTGACCCTTCTACCGGTTTTACATTATTTTAATGTTTGTTTAATTTCAACAATAGTATATTTATATTTTTGCCTGATTTCTTTATTTGTCTAGGCTAACCCTAATCCCTCACATTGCTACCAAACATTATGAATCTTTTATTAAAGATAAGCAAAGAAAAAAAATGGCGATTCAACAACCGCCTTACCCGTTCTAGTTACTGGTGGCCAAGATAATAAAGCACTGTGAACTCCTCTGGAGGTTTATTTTGTTTTTTATCTAATGTTTTATATCTATATGCTTATTTTATACACCCAATTGCCTCCAAATGATATTTCTATCACCACTACCACAATCCCTATGCCACCTCTGCCTAATTTTTAACAAATAAAAGCATTTAATTCCACTATCAATTACCTCATTAGGAGTTATTATAAATAATACTTTATCCGATTCCCTGAGGAACTTTCATGAATATTTAGAGAGATGTTCAAACGTGAATGTGTAGTGCGGCCAATTTCATTAACATTATTAATGGGAAAATATGCGGTAGTTTTGTCATGGCCTTTATAACAATACTTACGACCGTTTTATGGTTGAGTTGACAATGTTGTTCAATATTCTATTTGAGAGGGGGATACCAAAACTGACACTTTGGCAGAAATATCATTTTGCGTTCTTCTTTTACCAGTAGCCCAGGGCCTCAGCTTTATCAGGACACAAGGGGTGTTGTACACTGCTTTGATAATCCGTCATTATTCATTTCTTTCATCTACAACCCTAAATGGGATGATATTATACATTAATTTTTCCTTCTGCAGACGACTGAAAGGATTTCCTCTTAATTTTACCAGACACACAGAGTAATAATTATTCCTCATCATTTTTTAAAAAATTACCTAAATTTATATGGCAAGAAAAACAAATTTCTTAAAAAATATATAAATAAATTGCATATAAGTTTCATTAGTATTGAATGGCATTTTTGTAATTTAAATAAATAGCATTTTTTTTGTACTTAACAAAAGATATAGATAGCCCTTATCAAATTTTTTGATAAAAGGAGTTAACCCACTATTGGTAAATCTGAGATTTCCCCTTCATGTGTTGATAAATTATTTAGAAATTTAACTATCTCCGGGTTTGGGAAATAGTTTTGAAACTTAATATGTGATGGACTGGGCTTAAAAAATATTCCTCAACATTAATATTTGCTTGCACCTGACTTGGGAATATCTTATACAAATTATTATGGGCCGGGCTAGGAAAAAATTTTCAAAATTATTATGGGTTGAGCTAGGCTTGAGAATTTTTTTTATAAATTATAAGGTCTTGAACGCGTGGAAATTTTTTCCAATTATTATGAGCTTGGACCTGGCTTGAAATTTTTTAATGTTAAATGTTAGTCTTATGTAACCAGTAATATATTTACAAAGAATTTTGGTATTGGGTACAAGCTCATTTAAATATATTTTGACTCAAATAATAGTTTCCACTCTTAGTCCTAATGGGTTGGACTCAATGACATTGCTTGGACTTGACATAAATGGGGAGGGGGGGGGGTTAAAATTATATAAATTGGATATGATTTTTAAATAAAAGGTAACATCTTTCTTAAAAAAACGAATAAAATTCTCATTCTCCGTCATTTTTGACGGGCTATCTACTAGTCATATTGTAATTTTATTTCTTATTTAAAATATATTATTTTAATCCAAGATTGTCATCACGTCGATATGGAATATATACTTCAATGACGAAGCTTCCATGAAAGAATAAGAAACAATGGATAAATAAACCTGGGAAAACAGACAATTTAAAAAAATTATTCTATAAAATTATCTAAAATGCCAACATCAATTTTATTAACAGCGATTTATTCACAATATTTCGTATCAAATTGGAGGCATACTTCATATTAAACGATACATCGGGCAATGAAAAAAATAGGGCAGCACTCATATCGGCATTATCAATGGAAGGACTTAAATAAATTTATTTTAAAATCGCTCCAAGTCCATTAATAAAATAAAATATGACAATATTCAAGATTCTTTAATAGCCAACTAGAAAAAATAGCACCGTTGGAAAGTTTCTAATTTGTTAAACGTACTCAAAGAGATGGAGAAACCAACCTTGAATTTTTAAATTAACTAAAGCATTAGCAGTAAAATGCAATTATAAAGAAAAATATGAAGGAAATTTAAAAAGGCAGATAATTAACGGATTAGCAAGCAAAGAGATTAAAACAAAATTATTACTAGAAGAAAATATGGGAATAGAGGAAATTGAAATACTCTTTCAAACCATGGACTTGGTAGAGGAAAAGGAAAAGGCTAAAGCAAAAGCAAAAGGTATATTTTATTGTCAAGCCGTAAAGTAACGAGATGAAGGGAAAATAGAAAATAATAAAATAAACTATATACAAGAAAATAAAAAATAAAAAATTTTTATGGGGACTTAGCCCCCCATACCCCCCATTTGTGGGCCTTCTTCACGCTTTTGCCAGGCCTTCGGCCGGGTTATATATTAATATAAAATACTTTTTTAAAATTTGATAACTCTGAATAATTATTCTGAATTTCACATTTTGTCATTTATTATATTATGCATACAAAATAAAAAAGCATATAAATAATTAAAACAATATAAGACATTTCAAAAAATATTATTTCTTAATACAAAATCTATTTATTACAGTATAAAATATTTTCGATTGTTGATATAAATTTTGCGTCTAAAAAATTACAAGTGATAAAAAAGGTTAATTAATTCATACATATGCCTCAATTGATAATTGTTTTTAAAAACTACATATTATAAAATTAGGAACTTAAATTGACAAAAGGTCAAAAAACTAATACACTCTGTTACCATTTTTTGACAATGTTTTATTGAATGTACTAATAAGGAAAAATTTATAGGACTAACTAAATCAATAATTCTTGGAGAAGAGAATATAAACGACCAATCCAAATCATAAAACTATATGGTGGTTAGAGCATTCTTAAATGACATGATGGAAGCTAGATAAGTAATTGAAAAAAAAATTGTGAGATATTAAATTTCTTAAAGATTATCTTCAATTTTTAATGATCTAAACAACTATACAGTTGACCATTATTGATTATAAAATATGCAATCAAATGCTCTCAGCAGCTGTAATAAATCTTAAATTACATAGCCACACAAATAATAGATGCTGGTTAATTTGCAGTCATACCCATATTTATTATTCTAGATAAATTGATAAAACAAAAGCACTAAAAATCTTTAGAATAAATTATGCAAATGTATTGAATGAAGCCTTAAGTTATTTACAAGGCAGGGATGCCATATTAGAAATGAAAAGAACCAGAGTGATATGATAGAAGAAATTAATTAAGATTTTATATATTATTGTAGCACCACCTCTCGTTATATTATATCTTAAAATAGTAGTAGTTGTAATAATATCAAAAATATACTAGTATTAAAAATTTAACTCAAAACTGTTTTTCAAATAAGAAAAAAATAGCTTTCCTAAAAACACGTAAAAAAGAGAATAAAAGTTATCTAATTTATAACATCCATTCTGAGATAAATAATAAGATATTTTTTTAAATATTTCCAAATAAATAGATGGCGTTAAATATTTAAAAGCAATTTATTACTTTTATTTATTATCAGAAGCATTTATTAGTAAAATTTATTAAAATATTAACTCTAATAATATATTATATAACTGTCAAATACGTCTGTAAAATTGTTATTAAACCTAATCTATTATATCTAATAGAGGATTATAAACTATATGTTTACTTACTTTTTATAAATAAATCTCTTATACTTATTTGGATTTGGACCTTGAAAATAATTTTAAGAAGAGGCATGGTAATTAAATTTAAATATCAATAATATA